ATTTCCTGTGGACAATTGAGGGGCCAGACTCATCATACTCAGCCTTAGAAATCCACATCTGCATAGAAGCAAGCCAAATATGTAAGTTCGAGACCCTACATCAAACATAATGTGCATTGTGATGAGAAGGAAAACGCCTTGAAATAAACTCACCTGCTGGAAAGTGCTCAAGGACGCCAAGATGGAACCTCCAATCCACACACTGTACTTCCTTTCAGGCGGCGCAACCACCTTAATCTTCATGCTGCTCGGGGCCAAGGCTGTGATCTCCTTGCTCATTCTATCAGCAATTCCAGGGAACATGGTTGAACCACCACTGAGCACAATGTTTCCATACAAATCTTTCCTGATGTCAACATCACATTTCATGATGGAATTGTATGTTGTCTCATGAATACCAGCAGCTTCCATTCCGATCATGGATGGCTGGAAAAGGACTTCCGGGCATCGGAAACGCTCAGCGCCAATGGTAATCACCTGACCATCTGGCAGTTCATAACTCTTCTCAACTGAAGAGCTGGTCTTAGAGGCTTCTAATTCTTGCTCAAAGTCAAGGGCAATGTACGCCAACTTTTCCTTCATATCTCTCACAATTTCACGCTCAGCTGAAGTGGTGAATGAATAACCACGCTCAGTCAAAATTTTCATGAGGGCGTCAGTCAGGTCACGGCCAGCAAGATCAATACGTAGGATAGCATGCGGAAGTGCATATCCCTCGTAGATGGGGACTGTGTGACTGACACCATCTCCAGAATCTAGCACAATGCCTACAACAAAGCAGAATAACTTCACGAGGCAGGTTCAATAAACATTATCTCTCAATTCGCCTACTTTTCATCAGCAAAAAGTACATAAGTAACTTTTCAGAAGATAGTGACATATGTTCTATTTTAAACACCAATGAGAAAGCTTACCAGTTGTACGACCACTGGCATAAAGGGAAAGAACAGCTTGAATGGCTACGTACATAGCTGGTGCATTGAAGGTCTCAAACATAATCTGGGTCATCTTCTCACGGTTAGCTTTGGGATTGAGTGGTGCCTCAGTTAGAAGAATTGGATGTTCTTCTGGAGCGACACGAAGTTCATTGTAGAAAGTGTGATGCCAAATCTTCTCCATGTCATCCCAGTTGCTGACAATTCCGTGCTCAATAGGGTATTTGAGAGTCAAAATACCACGCTTGGACTGAGCCTCATCCCCAACATAAGCATCTTTCTGCCCCATTCCAACCATAACACCTGTATGGCGAGGGCGACCAACAATGCTAGGGAAGACAGCCCTTGGAGCATCATCCCCAGCAAACCCAGCCTGATAAACAACAGGAAAATTACAATTAAAGTTTTCTTCTGTTGAATAGAACGAGGATCGCAACTAATCGTTTAGAATGAATTTTTTTATTTAACGCATCGATTCATGAGCATTGTATTTACAAATTTTAAAATAAAATAAAAAAATTCAGAAAATTTGATCCTCAACTGAAGGTAAAATTCCATCACCTTAACCATTCCTGTTCCATTATCACAGACAAGAGGCTGGATGTCCTCGTTCTCAGCCATCTTTTATATTGTCTGCAAAAGAATTTTAGATTGCATCAAACGTATATAAAAGAAAAGGTGAATATGGAATGGTTCTTTCAGAGATAGGATGAAAGCAATATGCTAAGATCCCCAATCTTATGTTTAAGGAAAATAATCGGTCTACAAATTCATCAATCATGATAGCCGTATGCAACAACAAAATTTTGAAAGGTCCGAATTCCACAATCCACCTAAGATCCTTGACAAACAACATATCTGAGAAATTTGAAAGCTGCAACTTATGGGAACTCGAGAGACTCGAATAAACGTACACTATTACAATAACGCAAGGAAATAAAATGACCCTTTCTGATATTCAAAAAACGACTTAATCATAAGTAAAATATCTAATGTCTATCCTCTGCTACGTGCAGAATACGGCAGATCATGGCCTGATCGGTACACTGCACAGTCATTTCAGAAAACTCACACTCTGATTGCAAAAACATCCAGGCAAATAATACGCCACAATGATTAAATTCTAAGAAGCTGCATTTTGATTATTGATATACGAGAAACTAGTCGTTATGCTACTGAAGTATTACTCGAAATAATCTAAATAATCTTTCTGTGCAGCAAGGCCAGTTCAATAAAAATCAAATTATTAACAAATAAATAAGAAGGAAAAATAAAACTCCAGAAGAATCAAGCTCCAATCAATATCCGTTCAGTAGAGCCAACAAAACAAGAATGTGAAGAACATCAATCAAACAGTCATATCTAAAGCTAGAACATCCAAAAAGCTACCAAAGCATTGCGTCAACTCCAAAGAAAGCAGCAAATCATAGAGCAGGAGGAAATGCCGATCGTTTAGAAAGAAATTCGAGAATCGAAATCAGTACATTACGATGAAAATGTAGAAACAAGCATTCATCGAACGATCAGAGTGAAAATTTTGCAGTACCTTTTTTCGAAACCGTTGAAATCGAGAGCGTTTTCGCTCGAAGCTGATTTCTTAGCTAGCAGCTACCCGCCTCCCGAGGAGTTTATTTTTACAAAAATCGCAGATACAAAAAAAAAAAAAAAAAAAAAAAAAAAAAAAAAAAAAAAAAAAAAAAAAAAAAAAAAAAAAAAAAAA